ATATGTACTTATGTTCTTTTGTTCGATGTTGATAATTAATAGTTGAAATTAACCTGCTTGAGTTATTTCCACTGTGACAGTGTGTATAAATGGGAGGGTGACCAGAGTAGTGTTACATTGATCCATCTGAGAGAACACAATTATGTGGTCTTAATAAAACAAATTGTGGTATAATCAGAATATAACATGATCAAAGGGATTAAACCACAAGTCTGGACGCAATGGTCCAGAGTTAAGGACTTTATCAATTTTCCCAAGTTTGGACGCACAGTCCTAAATAAAAAGTGTTTGTATGGATGTAGTTGGTGTTTTCTCTTGATCAAAATTGTTTAATTATAGTTCCAAATGCTATTGTCAATATGTCAAAGCTTGCTTTCTTCCAATCCTGCTACTTTGCACAAATCATTAAAATTGATCCATGTTCTTCTGCTTTGGGATTGTGTTTGGATAGTGCAAGCATATGATATGTGTCATGATACATCGCACTCCTCAGTGAATTTTTAAAAAGTGGTAGCTAAAGGGACGGTTTTGTGTGTAAAAATCAGCACCTAAAGGGGTTGTTTTGTTGCTAAAAATCAACAGCTATGGGGTTGTTTTGTGGCTAAAAATCAGCCGCTAAAGAAGTTGTTTTGCAGATAAAAATTCAGCAACCATAGGGACTGTGTAGGCCCGAAATCGGCAGTTAAAGGGACTGTTTTAGGATTGTTTAAGCTGTCCTAGGGGGCTATTATCAAACGTTGAAAAGTATTAGACATTAGGCACTCAAAAGTATTAACCACTCTCACTCACATACATAAACCACCTCCATTTTCATAACTGTAGTGATGTACATATATCCTGTTTACATTAACATATAACCTGTTTCCATTTATCCTTTCTGTGTGATCATGGGACATGCAGTACATGTATGCATGCATGATAATTTGAATTATTTGATGCAACATGTTAAATATCTGCATGTATTCCTATTTATGTGTAATTCTACATGTTAAGGAAACGAGAAGTAATCTATTATCGTAAAGAAGGGAGAATTTATTGCTATAAGATCTGTTATTTAAAAATAGATGTTGAAGGATAAAAGTTAAGTAGATCATAGGAGACATACACGTTTCAAATGCGCCATAAGAGAGTGCAAAAAAAATCCAAAAAGGCTAATCAACTCTTATTTAGATTGACAAGTATATCATGCAATTTTTGGTGTATGAATGTAGTGGTTATTTCTTAAAAGTTTGTTCCAATTTGGCTTCTTTGATTGTAGCCGCTGCTTGTGATCTGAACCCAAACTCACCAGCCAACTCAAAATTTTGCAGCTCATATATTTCGCAGTTCAAGCGGCTAAGAGAAACTTTGTACGCAAATCTATTGTTTCAGGTGCTGTCTGTTTTAGCAATCTAACTTTATCTACATTTTTTTTGCATGTTTCTGAACAATTTCTGCATCTTGAATGCCTTTATTAGTTGACAAATAAGATGGGACAAATTGTTGCATACGATGCGCTTTAGTGAGCACGTTTCTGAACAAATTTTGCATCTTGAATGCCTTCATCTTGAGGCCCCTAAGTTGTATTAACGACCAATATAAATGTGATATGCCTTGATTATATGCACCTTATTCATGAATGGCCTTTGGTACTGTGGGAATGTCTAGATGTGCACCGGATTAACCTTCAACTTTATATATTAGTTGACTTGTAAAATAACCACACAAACTCATGATTCAAGGCCAGACTAATGTTTCCGGATTGTGATTTACACGCGCTGCATCGCGCGGGTACACCACTAGTATTTCTACATTAATTTGGTTAAGCTTTTTAAGTAAGGGGTCAAAATGTACATATTAAATCTTGAAGGGCCAAACACAAAAATCATATAACAACTTCTCCTAACTCCATCCCTTCCTTAGATCAAGATCAACACCGTTAGATCTCCCTTACCTCTCCAAATATGTCTTCTCTCTTTGTTGGACCCTTACCCCTCTCTTTTTCTCTCCAAACCAATTGAAGTCCTAATCCCTCACCTATATATGTACACACACAAGATCTTAAGGACCTTGGTACCGAGTCCCCTTCCATTGATCCGTTACACCTTCCATCTTTAGTGAAACTCACAACCTCTCAGTCTCGTGAACCCCTGTGATGGAACTCCATCATTGGAACTCCATGTGTGCTTTGTTTGTGTTATGTGTGCTCTATGATACATACGATATGTAGCTTGTAGGGGCACAGGAAGATGAAGGAAGACGGATGGGTGGCGGGTTGTCAGAGAGTAAATAAGAACAGCGGTTTACAGGAGTGTAGGGTGGTTCAAGGATGAATAGAGGTGGAGTTCACAGTTTGCCATTGGAGTTTTATGAGTTTGCTTGGTTTTGTTCCCTCCCACTGACGATTGTTAAAAAAATCAGCTAAAAGAGATATAATTTGGTCTTTTTTTTTATTCTTATGTTTATTTTTTATTATAAATAAATAATTATATATATATATATATATATATATACACTCTTATAATAAATAAGTAACTTGGGTGACACGAGTCATATTATGATGAGTCGGTTTTCTTGTTTTCCTACCTAAATATGTATCTAGACACAATTTATATTAGTGGTTCAATTAGACTCAATTGAATGTATCTAAACACAATTTACATTAACAGTTCAATTATACTCATTTGATTTACATGTGTCATTTTATTCAATCAATCCCACTAATTTAGAATGCAATTGATTTTATTCTTAGGTTAATTAA